TAGCATGTATGGAAGTCTTGCTGGGAAACTGGGTAGGGTTAGGAGAAGCATTACTTGACATTCATACAAACAGGAGGCCTGGGAAGGAAGAGGGAAGGGAGAGCTTGACTAGACTATAAAGTCTGAGGGGAAAAAAAAAACCTCTCTCTTAAATCCCCACCACCAGGCTTACAAGAACTCAATAAATTACAGTAGTTGACTGATTATATAAAGTCCTGGATCCAGAGACTTATTGATGAAAAAACTAGGCAAAGGTTGAACAGATAAGCCTGGATGGAAGACAGAATGTATACTGAAAATCAAAGGATTAATGGGGTATGAAACTATAGACTGGCCAGGAAATGGTGATGGAGTGTCAAAGCAATCAGGAAGATGGCAAGACAGCTCCAGAGATACTGTAAAGGTGAGGGTTGGTGCCCACACTACATACTACCTTTAGGTTTCAGAGAGAAAGAGTGGTGGAATAAATGCTAGAAATAGTAAAAGGGTTTAGTAATAAATAGAATTTTGGCATGGCCAAGATTTTAGCATTTTTCTGATGAAGGGGAGGAAATTTTGTCATTTATTCTAGAAAATCCTAGGTATTTAAGATTTCAGTTAAGAGCTGCAAAGAGATTTCCCATGAAAATAAGTCGTAAGTCTTATATAGAGCATCTTGAAATTATTCTAGCAGGCAAGAAGTAATAAGTGATACTGGAAAGGAAAGTTGGGGTCATACTTTTTAGGCTTAGAGTTTTATCCAACATCAGAAGCAAGCAAGAGATAGCACCAAGACTTCATCTCAGTCTTTGATTCTAAATCCTGTGGTCTAAATCCAAACTTTTTTGGAAGGGGAAATAGGCAACATTCTCACAATTAGAATGTTACTGCTATAACCTGGCAAGAAGTAATGAGGACTTGAACAAAGACAGGGACAACAAGAAAAGACGGAGAAGTTTGGATTCTAAAGAAATTGTGGAAATAGTGGTACTAGGATTTGACAACTAAGTATATATATTAGGCAAGAAAGAGGGATACATCACAATGAATGTGGGGTTTTCCCTAAAATGACTCATCAAAGAGTGCAACTAGTTGTGGCACGCCAATGAAATGAATGTGTGTTCATATTCCATCTAAGAGATCAATTCATAACAACCTATTTAAATAAAGACTGTTATGATGAGATTGCAACAAGTGTGGTTGGGACAGCCCTGACTATAGAAAAGGAGGAATTAGTAAGGATCTGTGGTTTCTTTCCCTGTAGCACTACTCCTTAGAAAGAATGCTGCAGTGAGCTTGCATGAATAAATCTAGTCAATTTAGAGGTAGAGACTTAGTGTTATGCACTTAGACTAAAGGGCTATTGAAAAGGATATATGTGGCTTATATAACATTGAAAATCAGAGATAACATAATATTAGAAATTGTAACACCTTAGAGATCCCTTGGATCAATCATTTCCACTTTTTAAAAAAAACTGTTTATAGACCACTTCAAACATACAGAAAAGTGAAGAAGTATCGTGAATTCCCATTGACCTGTCACCAATTCAGTGAACATCAATTTATAATCAATTTTGTTTCATCTTTATCTCTACCCCCAGATAACTGTTTCAACCATAAATATTTTAGTATAAATCTCTAAAAGATAGGAATTCTTTTCTAAAATGTAATATCATACCTAAAAAATGAACAATTTTTTTACTGTCATAAAATATCTGCTCATCATTCAACTTTTCCCCAACTGTTTCATAATCTCTCTAGATAATGTCTCTGAGGTCTTTTTAAACTATACTTTCCCCTTCCTTCTTTTTATTTTTCCCGCTAATAAAATTAAGCCAGATAAGGCCATATAAAGTCTCCCACATTCTGAATTTTGCTGAATGCAGGGACCAGATCTTTCTTAATTTGGCTCTTCGGGTCCAGCAACACTGGCTCTCTATTGTCCTGGTTCTGTGGAAACTCAGTAATTTAAGGTCTGGTAAACGGAACTAAACTCATAGTGTTGAACTGAAACCATTTACTTATATCAATTTTAATTCATGAGTTACTGAAGCATATTTCAGAGAAACACAAAGTAATATTAAAATACTAATTCTTCAACTTCTTTTATTATTCCTTTTTTTTAAATAAACTGATAATATAGGATTCTATCAAAGTGAGTTTTCCTTTCAACCTAGTGAAAACTTGTATAACTGAAATTTTTAAATGGTTAAATCTTTTCTACTTATTTTAATTCAAGCACAGTATATTATTATATATATTCATAACTCAAACTATTCATCTCCATCTAAACCTTCAATTAAATTCCACAATGCAAACCTCTTGGCACTAGAGCCACATTTCATATTTATTCAGCTGAGACTGTTGTCTTGAAAAAGTGTTGAAGTTTGGAGGTTTTCTGGTGAGAGTACATATTCTGACATCACCTTGGCCATAACAGTGATTGGCTGCTGGAAGGCAAAGAAGAGTTTATAGGCAGCAAGAGCAAGTGAATGAGTGGGTGAGAGAGCAGAGGAAATCCTCAATCTGTGTTACTCACTCCTGTGAGCCTGTCTTCCAGCTCCAGGACTTCAAACAGGTAAGAATTAATATGACAACTTCATTATCTTAAAATCAAACACTCCACCTTTTTCATCTCTGGATTTGACTTTAAATTTTTTATTCAAATAATGATATTATTGCACTGTATAGAAAGGCTATGTAATTTAACACTTGTTTATCATTACACTAGCACCTCAGATTTTAGGTTCTTTCTAAATTGCTAAGCTTATTAACCTATGCATGTAAATAAGTTCTTAGTGTTATGCAAATAAACTAAAAAATTATGCTTCCTACTTCTATCTCTGTACCTTATAGATAGCTGTTTGTTTCCTCATTCTGATGCATTCAAAATAAATTGACTGAAATATTATTTTGCATTTGCAAATGTGCCTCAGTGTATGCAGATTTCTCCATAAATTATGCCAAAAAGTACAATCATATACAATATTTTTTCCATATGTTATACATACATATACATTCAGTTTCAAAGTGTTAATATCCTATACCTCTAAAATCAGTATGGAAAAATATGTAGTACTAAAGAAGTAAATAATGTTGGTGGTTTATCATACTCTTACCAATAAAAAGCTTGTACTTAGATTCCCAAAACTATCCTTTAAGAATGTTTGAATTGTTGTCTGTGTTAGTAGTGGTCATTATGGAGGTGTTTGCTTTTGATGAATCAGAAAGTAAATAAAATGAGATTTATATAGGTAGCCAATTGCTGCCTAAATGAATTACTTGTTTGTTTGTTTTTATATTTTCCCTGCTATGTTTATATCATCTAATTGTTTTTAAGGTTTATTATGAGAAATTTATGTAATAAAACCTCTTTCTACAGTTCTTCATATTTAAGTATTTAGCTCTTTTAGATATTGTAGATATTCCAACTCTTTTCATAAAGCTGCAGAGCAATAATCTTTTTTGCTGGTGGGTTTGACCATGGATGGCAAATTTCAAAGTATTACTTAGAGCACCCAATAACAATGAAAGCTTCTGAAACAGATGGGCCCCCTTTAGGGGCAAAGCCTCTTTATCCCCATGAGACAATCAAGAACTTTAGTTCCCAAAATGGAGAGGATTGTGAGTAAGTGTACAGGTAACAAAATCCAAAGACCCACTCCACCACAAAGCAAGTGTGACAGGGCCCAAGACAGCTTTTCCAGGCCTTGAACTTTACTCTGTGGACTGTTTATTTCAGCATCAGATACTCAGTAAGGATGCAGTAAATCTGGGCTCATGATGACAAAATGCAAAATCAACCTTTGGGGTACAGTATATGATATGGGTTTCATACATGTTAAATATTACTTTTCCTAGTGTACTTATGGGGAAGTTTTTATCACCATTACATATTGCTTCTAAAATATTGCCAAACCTGCCACTCTGTATGAGAAAACACTAAGTTAAACATGTATGACAGTGCAAGTTGGGTGGGTGTTAGGTAAGCTTTCAGTTAAGTTCATTTAACTTCTGTTAAAATAGGATTTTATCAAATAGAATAAAATTAAAATAGGATAGGATTTCATTATCTTCATTTTCTTATGAGGGATCTGTGTGGAACTGAGATCTTTGCATGGCTGCACATCCCAGGACTGTCTGGGAACTACTCCTATTCGGAGAGTTGCATCTTCAATTCTTCCATAGAGGTGAAGGTCTCCATGATGCCTATGCCCTGACCCTGGAGAGCCCCTAATCCATCCCACAACAGTCTCCCACACTAGCAATGGAAAGCTTAAATGGTGCTGGAGAATGCCCTTATTTGAAGAAATTTGCCCCTGATATTCCAAGGTAGAATTCTAATGAATTCTTATAGAATCATCCTTAGACTTGGCTGTTTGGTGCTACTTGGTATGAGAATAGTATTTCACATATTATGGATCATTTCACATACATTAAAAAAAATACCAAGTATTCTAAGAAATTTATAGAAAAATGGTTCCTAGGCTCCACTTTATAAATGAACTTTCAGTTCAGAACCTATATATACCGACATAGAAGCTGTAGGAACAATGGTGGAAAAGCAATCATTTAAATGTATTCAAGTTTTGCTTAGTTTTTAGTTATAAACAAAACAAATGGGTCACATAACTACCTAACAGTTCAATTTGCTTAGCTGGTATTCCTGGGCCAATAACATTAGGAGGCCTCCTTGGCTCAATGTGAGGTACACTAAGCATTCAAGCCCTTAGCAGAGATGAAGCAGTCTTCCACTGACAGATCGCAGCAGATCACAAACCAAATATGGAACTCAGGGTTATTTAAATAGATAGTGAAGTCAGTTTTCTACCACCTAAATAGAAGGAATGATTTTAAGACAAAAAAACAAATTTGGTCTCAATTAGCCAAAACTAAAATTGGACAGAAGTGAAAACAAATTAAATACTTCAAAAAAGTTAAAAGAGTAAAAATGTTACACTCTTAGCTTTAATATTTGTTAACTTGACTGCTTTATTAATTCCAGAAGCAATCACCAAAATGAAGACCGCTTTAATTTTGCTCAGCATTTTGGGAATGGCCTGTGCCTCCTCAGTAAGTTCTTTATTAAGAACCTACAGTTATTTCCACTTTTGTCTTTTTATGTAAAGAGAGAATATGTAATAATTAAATGTTCTTCTAATGCAGATGAAAAATTTGCATCGGAGAGCCAAATTAGAGGATTCTGAAGAAAATGGGGTAATTAATTTTGGCATGCTTCCTTGGCCTGACTACACTCACTCTAGATTTAATGCACATTAAACATGAATATATCATTTATTTTGTTTATGCAGGTCTTTAAATATAGGCCGCGATATTATCTTTACAAGCATGCCTACTTTTATCCTCCTCTGAAACGATTTCCAGTTCAGGTAAGTATAAAAATTCGTTTTCTTTCTCAGCCATTAGAATTGTTTTAAAATCATCCATTTTTTTATTGAAGTATTTTTGATATACAATCATATTGGTTTCAAGTAAACAACACAATGGTTCAACAGTTACCCATATTATTAAATCCTCACCCCCACTAGTGTAGTTACTATCTGTCAAGTTACTATCTGTCAACACAGGAACATGTTACAGAAACCTTGGCTATGTTCTCTATGCTGTGCTACCATCCCAGTGACCAACTTATATTGTGATCAAGAATTTTTGTGCCCCTTTATCCCCCTCACCCTCTCTACCCACCCACCCTATCCCCTCCCCCATGGTAACATGAGTCGCTTGTCTGTCCTTGAGTCTACTGCTCTTTTGTTCATTTGTTTTGTTTTTATATTCCACAAATAAGTGAAATCATATGTTACTTGTCTTTCTCCACCTGGCTTATTTCACTGAGCATAATACCCTCTAGGTCCATCCATGTTGTTGCAAATGGCAGGATTTTCCTTTTTTATGGCTGAATAATATTTCACTGTGTATATGTACCAAATCTTCTTCATCCATTCATGTACTGATGGGCACTTAGGTTGCTTCTATAACTTGGTTATTGTAAATAATGTGACAATAAACATAGAGGTGCATATATCATTTTGAATCAGGGATTTTATTTTTCTCAGGTAAATTCCTAGATGTGGAATTACTGGATTGTATGGTATTTCTATTTTTAGTTTTTTGAGGAAACTCCATGCTGCTTTCCACAGTGGCTGCATCAGTTTACATTCCCACCAAGGGTTTAGGAGTTTAGGTGTAGGAAGGTTCCACCCATTACAATTCAAAGGGAATCAAACTTAACTACAAAACACCTAAATTCAACTCTCACTGATATTCAGCCAGAAAGACCAGCTACTATAAAAAGATTATTTTTAATATAATAACATTTATTCCTGAGTTGTCTTTGAAAGCAGAGATTCCCACACATGGAGTAAAATTATTTGTGCCCAGTCAAGAAGGATACAATAAAAGCAGACACCTTGGCACATTCGGTTCCAGCATTTTGAAAGCAGACAATTTTATCAGTCCCTGACAACCAAACTAGTGATGGGGCTGCTAACTGTCACTTCGTAGCTGATTCAGGACAGCTGTTTTACATCCAGTGACTTGGAGTCCTTTAATTGGTAGGGGAAAAACTGACTTAATAAATAGCAGAGACCATTTTAAAAAACATTCCTGATAATTAATAGTGATGGCTGAAGACTTTCTGTACCTCAGACCTGTGTAAGTCACTGGGGCAGTATGTCATACACTGGAGCTGAGCTACTGGAGATGTGGCTCAAAAGCTGCAGAGGAAAGAGAGAAATTCATTAAAGCTTGTGAAGAAACAAAACATTCTTAAAATTTGTAAACAAACACTAAAAATAAGAGTTTCTGTTTTACTGGGTTACCTGAAAAGAGGGCCTTTGAAAACTGGAGGGTGTGGTGTTGATTTTAAACATATGACAAACTAGATTTGTGCTATTTTGGTTACTATACAGTTTGGGTTCAGGGCACCAATTATGCACCCTTTGGCCCAGGACTCCTGAGACACTGAGAGCAGTCAGGGGATGCTGAAAACAACACCTCAGCACAGTGGCTTGGCATAACATTCTACCACATGTTGGGCTAAGCCATCTCTAACTCATACAATGATAGGAAATGATCATCTTAAAGTATTTCTAGCACCATAATAATTATGGGGAATGTTGTGGCCACAGAAATATGAGCACACATGATATAAGAGTGTGGGTTTTCAGATCTGTCTTCTATTCTTTGGTTCACCTCAGGTCCATGTGTAAACAGTGCTCATTTGAAAGTGTGCTCTGTTTTGCTCTTAAACTAAATGGAAGTGGTAATAAATTAAAATTTCTACCTAGTCTCTCAACTTTTCTAAAATATTAAGTACTCAGAGATACCCCTACCTAGAATTTTTATAGATATACATGTGTGGTCCAATCCAAATCTTCATAATGAAAAAGTATTAGGAGTGGTTATATGTTTCATTATTGATAGACTCAAAGTTCACAGATCCTTAAATAGATTTTTAAAATTCAAATATATAGTTGTAATGGTCATTACAAGGCTTTTATAATGCAGTTTCTCATTTGCTGTGCACATGACCATAAAAAAAATTTCCCACTAGGTTTTCTTTCTGCCACCTTGTTAGCATTCAGCCTACTGGGAACATGTTATTAACCCTTCTGTGATTTATTTCCACTACCTGGGACTATTTTTATTGACAGTCATCCTCACTTTGGAGAAGCAAAGGTGATTGGCAGTGGAAGGAATCACACCATACTGTTCTTAAAAAATTTATTGACTTATGTTGCCTATGTTACATAATAAAAACAACCCTTTACAGTTAAAAAATTCGAGTATAGTTGGCACACAATATTATTTGTATTGAAATACAATATTTCAAGTATACAACGTAGTGATTTGATCTACACTACTAAATGCTCACCCCTATAGTGTAGTTCCTATCTCAAAATCTCAATCATAATATATAAATTCTCAAATCTAAACCATGTATAATCAGCCACAGGAATGAAAGTAGAGCATAGAGAATATCACCAACAGTTCTGCAACATCACCCTATGCCAACAGATTGTAAATAGATCTTAACATATAAATTTTCCACAAATTATATGGATATGGGTCCATCTTAAGAATGTAGAATTTATAACATAGTTATTTTTAAAAAGAATCCAATAAAATATAGCTCCCAATCCAAAGTCTAATCTAATATTTATGATCTATTCTCCTACTTTACAACATTTGATTTCTAGGAATTTTTCCCTTACATGTCTACTTGTGTATTTTCCACAGCTCTTTATTATTTATTCTCTTAAGTCTACTGGGTATTTGGTGCCCAGATCATCACCCCAAAATGCATTTAGCTGTATTGCTTTTGGAATTCATGTTTTATTCAAACAAATCTCTGCTTATGTATAATCATTTCTCGAATACCAACTTGTGTGAAATATGACATATTTCATGTATAGCTGTAAAACTATCAAGTCTACATAACTTATCTGTAAAACTATCAAGTTTACATTACTGGTCTATCTGCTTGGCTACAGAAATGGAAGTATAAATCAGCTTAACACCCTAAGCATTTTTAAATGAGGAAATGGCCTTTTTATGATTTCAATGATATTTGACTAGTGTGTAAACTCTTGGTGGGTAGGAATTTTATCTTATATTTCTTTAATCAGAGTCATCTCAGCTATCACAGTTCTTGACACAGGGAAAATGCCTGTATTTCCAACTTCATCTCGTGCTATGAACCTCATTGTCAATACAAGGCAGAAAAAAGGAATATTCAATTGGGGTTAGCACTGGAAGAAAGATAAAGAATCTCCTCTATTGTCTTAAAGGCTTTGATAACAGATGTTGAGATTTCTATTTCCTTTTAAAAAGTAGTAAAGCTCATTAACTTATAATTAGATATTTATATACAGACTCCTTGGTTAAATTATTCTCATTAAATATTGAGCTCTTCAGAGGGATGGTACTTTATCAATCTCCTAAATGAGTAAGTGAATTAATTTTTCTCTTACATAACTTTTACCTCATTTATATATAACATTATTTATGTATATATGCATACATATATTTACAGATTAATTTTAACTACATTCAAAATGACATATTTCATGCAAAGCTGTAAAACTATCATCTACATAATAATTATTGACATTTCATGTATAGCTGTAAAACTATTAAGTCTACATAATAGATTATTGATATACTCAAAGTTCACAGATCCTTAAATAGATTTTTTTAAATTCAAATATAGTTGTAATGGTCATTACAAGGCTTTTATAAGATTAATTTTAACTACATTCAAAATGACATATTTCATGTACAGCTGTAAAACTAAAAATTATATGCAAATTTAATTTCAAGTCAAATTCTAATTTAAATTCACCAGGAGAGCTCGTTATTTAAGAGAATCATCCAGTAAAAACTTATATTCTATAAGCATCATTTCATTTACATTTTACAAAGAATATAAACAATGTGATCTCTGTCTGCCTGAGATTTGTCTGGAACTGGGTAGAAAAGTAACAAGTGTTCTGGTCTTTAGATTCCTTCTCTACAAAATAAATTGGACCAGTTAACCCTCTTGTTTTCTCAGAGTTAAGAAACTTCTATTATTCATTGTTCTAGTTTTTACATACAAAATGTTTAACCTATTGCTTATGCTTTTGGGGTCAAAAATGAAGTATCTCATTTCATATCTTCATTATTGTAAAATGCTACTTTTTCTCTGATCTCATTTTGTATATGCTCAATCTAATCATACTTTTCTTACATTCACATGAGATTTGTTTTAAGTAAATAAATCAATCAGGATGGTAATACTAATTAGTTTGAGTAAATATTTGTGTGTATTTTATCTTATTTCAATGAGAAGGAAATTTTCTTTGGTGTTGAATACATGAGTATACTCATACATTTGTGTGTGTGTATGAGTTCATATGTATATTCATATTCATATGTATATATTTACTAGAGCAGTAGTGACTCATCTGAAGAAAATGGATATGGTGATAGCTCAGAAGAGGAGGAGGAAGAAGAGGTAAGGAATTTCTGCAGGATTTTTCATAACAAACCAGGCAGCACAAAAAACAAACAGGAATCTAGTCCACTATAGTCTGGGCTCAGCAAATAGCCATTGCCCACAGTGTTCTATTTTGGACAGTGGAATGTTATTTAAATTTTTAAGAATCAGCTAAAATGACCTGTTTAAAACACTATTGCAGTTTGGGGTCAAAGTTTCCTACAAGTAGTGCACAAAAACAAAAATGTTCCCATTTTAAGTGAAGAAAGTGTACATTCTGATAAAAAGGAAAAAGTATTATTTATACTAAAGTGGCTAGAACATAAGACAAGTACATAATAATCCTACATTCAGTGCAATACTTGTTTTAAGGACAGAAGTTAAAAACTCAACTTACTAAGTTGATAGTGTATGAAAACTAATCATATGCTCTACAGTGTTACTGTAATTCATCTGCCTTTCTTGACCCACCAAGTAGCGTTGTTCATTTTCACAGGAATTTCATGTATTTTTGTCTAATAATAAAATTCATGCTCTTACAGAAATGCAAATACTCAAGATGTATCTCAAATAATAAATATCTTCCTATATAGTACTGCAAATTAGTGTGGTTCATGGTTAAAATTCATCTCTATATCTTGGAAATTGTGCTAATATGTTTATAATTGACACTTCTGCACGGGAAACATATTAATTAGGTACATGTTCCTGGATAGTCAATTATAGCTATCCATTGGTTTGGGAACCTTCTAAACTCAGGTATTCTTACGTGCTATTTATGAATGGACAATAACAGTCAAAAATGGATCATGGATACACGTCTGCTATCTTGGAAACAAAACTGTGTGAAAACTTTAAAAAAGAAAGTTAATTTGATTTTTTTTTAAACCATAAAAGCAACGTTTCCAGTACATAATTTACCCTAATAGCTTAGAGGAAGGACTTATAAGAATGTCAAGCCAGTACCAGGAAAAGTGCCACCTACTAAATCCCACAAAATTTTGCCTGGAATTCCACATAGTAATTTTACACAAGAACTAAGCTAGGGTAATCCACTTAACTACAGCTGTGCTATACCGTGATTGTAAAATTGCCTTGCCAGCTAGATTTCTCAGTTAGATTACATATCTTATGGCAATGGTTCTTCACTTGGTCGATGGGGATGGAGGAAGATTGGTAGGAGTCCTTTAGGACCCTGATGAAATCACACACACTTAAAATTTTCTGCCAATAATCTCTGAACATTTATAATCCTCCTAGAACCTGTCTACAAACTTCCCATGACCCAGGGAATAGAGAACATAGATTTCATCTCTGCTTTGTGGGGGAACAGTGGTGTACCCTGTTTTGTATCTCCTCACTGCCTAGCACAGTTTCTTACACATATATGGTGCCCAGTAAATATTTGGTGGTTTAGTTTCAAAAACTTCAGAGGAATAAATGCTCCAAAGATCATCCACTCAGAGTGGATGAATAAACTTTGAGGTCTTCCATCCTAAAGAGATTCTAAAACCTCTTTAACTCCCATTGCTTCCCTAAAATTTCATTGGCAATTCAAGTTAAATACACAGAATCTCTCCAGGAGAGCTGTACTCACATGAGAAGGTACTTGGGCCTTTTGGTGATCATAGACTTTTCCCATTGCTAAACTATTCAGTCTCATTTTCAAAAAATTTTTGTCGAAATATCATGTACAGAACACAATTATTCTAAGTATATAGGTCATTGAAATTTCAGAAATTGGGCACACAAGTGTAACCAGCACCCATATCAAAAAGCAGCATATGCTTTGTGCTCCATCCATACATTAACAAGCACCTCCAAAGCAACTGCTGCTCTGACTCCTAACAGAGAGATTGCTTTTGCTTCTTTTTGTATATTATACAGATGGAATCATGCAGCATACAGTCTCTTGTGTGTGGGTTCTTCCACTCTCAACACTTCCATAGTGTTCTGTAGTTCTAATCATCCATTCTCATTGTCTGTGTTTCATTATGTGAATGCACCACAATGTATTATTCTGTTGTTGAGCAGGTGGGTAGTTTCCAAGTTTGGGCTATAACAGAGGGTGCTGCTATGAACATTCTACTACTCCTTCTGGTGAGCATATGAATTCACTTCTGGAGGCCATTTCATATAGAAGTGAAATTTTTAAGTCAAAGGGTATGTATATGTTCAACCTGAGCAGCTGCAACCCAAGCGATGTACTAATGTGAAACCCACACTATCAGAATATGAGGGTTCTAGTTGCTCCACATTCTCACTAACACTTATTTCTTTCAGTCATTTTAACCATTCTAATGAGTTCATAATACTTTTTAAGCACAAATTACTGCTAGTTGTTATATTCAAAAAGATATTTGGGGCATAGTACCCATCAACAGACTGACCTACTTTCCTTTTTAAGTCATTGCAGCAGGACATCCATAAATAAAGTGTCTAGGAAACGAAAGCATCTTGTAGGAAAAAACATGTAAGTCTATGAGTTGGGACTTTTAGTCATGACCTTGCCACTAATGACCTGCCATCTACTTGAACTCATGTGAGACCTCTGAAATGAGAGTACAGGACCTGACTAGCATATTCTCTTACTCTAAAGACCTTTCCTCCATCTCTCCTGAATGGTTTAGTGTGTTACAATAAAGCTAAACATGAAAAAATAAACAGTATGGTGTTAGTGGGATATTCAACACAATTAGCTTGGAGACTGTTTTGGGGTGGATTCCAGCAGTCCCAAGATTTCACTGAAACAGTGGAATTTATAGATTTGACAAAACAAATATATTCTCCTTTAGTCACTTTGTTTTAGTAATAAGGCAGGCTAAATCTGGGTTTTGTTTGAAGTCTTTAAAACATAGGTTGCCTAGATAAAGTTATCTTAACATCATAATCTCTTTAAAAAAATACACTGAAATGAATTCAGTTTTCCAGTACTCATTTAAGTATGAATTTCTGACTTTTAATATTAACTATGAGGAGATTAACTCAATTAACAAACCATTGCTTAACAACATGGGGTAAAGGCAAGAGAATACAATGTTAAATAAAATTATACTATGACTAATAGTATTATAACAAGCATTCATTTGAAGAGTATTAATTTTTAAAAACATCTTCACACAGTAACATAATATACAGCTAAGGACTTCTTGGAGCATTTAGTTTCTTCACTGTACATAAAATTTGGTTGTGTGTCAAGTGCATGAAATCTGAATACAGCATACAGCACAGAACTGGTTTATATACTGGGAAAAGACTTGAACTAAATATATCTTTTTTCTTTAAATAGGCTTGAAAGCAAATGAAACATATTCATTCTGTTGAGTAGTAAATAAGACATGCAATCAATTTGAAGATAGGTGTTTCTATAAAAAAATTCTTTCTGAAAAAATATCCTTGGTGTAGTACAGACAATTCATATAAATCCTAATCATCAGCAAAAACATCATGGTACATTAGAAAGGGCTCAGCTCTTTGAGTTAGAAAGATGCAGCCTCATTACTACTATGAGACCTTAAGCAAGTTATTTAGCTTTCCTGAGCTCACTTTTCTTTTTCAAAAGAATGAGAGCAGTACCTTACAGGGCTGCTATAAGGAATAATTTTTTAAAAAGGCATTAGTTCTCAGCTTATTTGACAGCAAATATAAGAATTAATTTACTACCATGCCTTAGTAGTTGTTGATAAGACTTTAAAAGCCTAAATCATGTATGGTATGAAGCTTTATTGTCAGATTTGCTGAAATTATCATATGAATATCTTTAAATTGATTAAATAGAATACAGAAATATCTAAAACAAACTATAGTGTGGTAAATAGGCGAGAGAACTTTGAGCTGAGTTCTGACAAGTGAGAAGCGAAAATGTCACAAGATGATTTGCCAACCTCGGGCAATGAGCTGGCTGAGATTTTCCCAGCAGTGGTTCACACATCCAAAAAATCTTGAATTATCTTCCAGCCAAAATAAATTTTCTTGCTCTTAATGTTTTCACCAGGAGACTTCGAATGAAGAAGAAAACAATGAAGAGAATCAAAATTCTGATGAGAATGAAGACGAAGAATCTGAAGCTGAGAACACTACACTTTCTGCTACAACACCTGGCTACGGAGAGGAGACCACACCTGGTATGGGGAATACAGGTCTAGCCGCCATGCAGCTTCCCAAGAAGGTAATAATTCCTCCAAAATGTTACACCAGATTTCATTTCTTTACTGAAGTCTAAGGTTATCCTGACACTATACACACGTATTTTATATTATCTAACTGTGAAACTTACTTTGAAAAAGCTGAAAAAGTGAATGCAGATTCAATTTCCCTGTTTACAATAAGGAAAGATCTTTCCCCAGGCGACTTCTCTCCCCGTGTTGTTACACTGACTTTCACAGACGGAGGGCAGCATCTTAGCAATGGATAAAATGTCCTGATTGATGCCATCGCCTTTCAGGAAAGAGGTTTCCAGGGCAGAGAAAGTGAGTAGCAAAGCTCTAGGAAGCATCTGCCACAGTGGAAGCTTACCTATCAGGCACATACTTCTACATTAAAAACCAGTGACAAAAATATCATTCTGAATCTTTTTTAAACCTCCACCAATTCTTCTGTGAGTTAAATTGGCTGCAATTCAAAATGACATTTAAAACAAGACTTCCTGTGCAGCCTGGTTGGATAAAGTAATGGCCTTAAGTTTAACATTTGCCTGTCTAGATTTAGATTCTTTCAAACTTTTCCTTACAGGCTGGGGCTGTAAGAAACAAGGCCAAGAAAAAGGAGGAAAGTGACGAAGAGGAAGAGGAAGAGGAGGAGGAAGAGGAAGAAACTGAAGCGGAAGTGGATGGAAACGAGCACAGTGTCAACGGCACCAACAGCACAGATGTGGACAACAGCAAAGGCAGCAGTGGTGGGGATGATGGGGAAGGTGAAGAAAGTGCTACTGAAGCCGATGCAGAAGGAATCACAGAGGCTGGCGAGCAGGGTAACGGCAGCCCTATGGAAACAACTCCAAACGGTGGATTTCAGCCTACATCACCACCACCAGAGTTCCGGGGTGCCACCCCCATGGCGAGCGAGCTCAGCACCACCAGCTCAGGCGGGGAGTATGAACCCACGGGCACCAGTGAATACGACAGTGGGTATGAAGTCTACGAAAATGGGAACGGGGAGCCCCGTGGGGACAATTACCGAGCCTATGAGGATGAGTACAGCTACTATAAAGGGCGCAGCTACGATGGTTATGATGGTCATGATTACTACTACCACCAGTGAAGGCCGCCTGGGATGAAGTCATCCATTCTGGCGTTTCGAGTGTCTACCATTTTCAAAGTGCAACTCAGGAAGGTACAATATAACAAATGTGCTTATTATAATGTGGAATGGAGCTCCTGTTCCAAAATGATTTCTATAATTGCTTCTGCAAGTAATGGGCTTCCTGTTGCTTTTCCCTGGTATGTTATTGAAAGGCCATTATAAATCAGGGCCATTTATCAAGTAGTTAACCAATCCATGAGATCAAGGTTGATTGAATGTTTTGAGGTTGTAGTTGTATAAATAGTATTTTTAATGTGCCTGCATTATTACTAACTGCTAAAATATATTGTTTGTGCAAGAAGTACTTCTAAGATGAGATTGACATTAATGACACTGTATACAATAAATGCTTATTTCTTTAATCACACTACTTAACACTGTATATTAGGTTTAATTATTATCCTCAAGTATTTTTATGTGACCTATATGTATATTCTATCTATAGGTTTGTACCACAAATAAAAATGCAATACTTCAAATGTGTTATAATTAAGAAGAAAAATGAGAGATTCAGAATTGAAAAAGGTAGGACCAGTAGGGTACAATTCAATCAATGGATAAAAGCTTATTTCCTCTGTGGTTTAAAACTCAGAAACACTATAAACATTTTCTTGTGGATAAATCAACATAGCTGAGATTTTGACATGCATGTGGGAATAGTCAGACATATACACCAGGGTATAAATGTTTTTTATTAGAGTTGCCAGATTTAACAAGTAAAAATATAGGATGCCTAGTTAAATTCGAATTTCAGATAAACAATGAAAAAAAATTTAGTGTAAGTGTGTTCCTTGCAATATTGGGCCTCTGTGAAGTATTTGGGACATACTTATACTAAATAAATGATTCATTGTTTATCTGATTCAAATTTAATGGAATGTCCTGTGCCATACCCTTTTCCTATTTGACTTGACTTTAGGTAGGGTAGGGAGAGGGATGGGGTAGAAAACTCTTAGATGTCTATATGCGCGTACATACACACAAACACACAGGCAACCAAAGAGGACTGATATGAAAAGCCTTAACTGCAATTTATGCCTTGATATAAACCTGAAAGCAAATTTCAAATGGGAATAGTGCAGGAAGGAGACAGTGAGTAAGAGTAAGAAGACAAACATTTATTCATCTTTCAATATATTCATTGAGAAGATGTTTTGGGCATCTGCTATGGAGCTGGGTAATGTTTAGACACTGGACATATGAAAATGAAGAACCCTGTCCTCTGAGTGATTTTTGTCTGATAACTAATGGTTGTAAGGCATCACATGCATCAACTAATTGTCTACTATCTTTTTATTTTGAAAAATACTAAGTCTTCAGAAAAGTTCGAAGATTACTACATGAGCACCCTTATTATATGTTTCACCTAAATTCACCAATGGTTAACATTTTGCCATATTGATGTTATCTTCTATCTATTTCTGTGCGCCTCTGCCTTTCATATACATATACTTTTTTGCAAATGTGGTTGGCAAACATAAAGAATGGTTACGGGAAGTGTGACATCATGATGCTTGACTCCTAAATACTTCAGCATTCAGTATAAGAACAAGGAATTCTCCTACACAGTCACACTGTCATTCTTAAGAAATTTAACATTGATGTAACTTTCTAAAGTACAGTCCATATTCAAATTTTCCCAGTTATTCCAATAATGTCATTTATTACTAACTCATTTATGCCTCACAAAATTCTTATCAGGTGGGTATTTTTATTATCCCCCATTTTACTGATGATTGAAGCTCAAAGAAGCTATGCAGCTTACACAGGGTCACAAGTGGGCAAGCTTGAGTTAAAACAAAGGCAGACTGGCTTTAGAATCTTTGCTCCTTACCAGTATGCTATATTCATTAGTGTATATTCATCAGTAACAGATGTTGAACCATAATGTGAGCAGGAAATCTCAAATGATGAGAACACTGCTGATAAATGAGCCTTGTCTTATTAGATCACAATTTTCTTAGACCCTGACATGTTTTATGACTTGAGCCCTAAAGAATATTTTCAAGGAAAGGCGATCTTCTCCTATTTTTGGTATATCTTTTTATACAGGCAGTTCGGTATTGTGCAAAGTCCATGAGCTCTGGAGTTAGATGGGCTTGAATAATGGCTATCAAAAGTAAATCACTATCGTTTCCTAGTCTTCATTGCCTCATCTCCTACATGTGGAGTGTACTTACTGGGTTTCTGTTCAGGATCCAACATGTTATGAAGTACTCAGGATTGTCACCTCCCTCCTCTCCACTCCCCCTTCTGTCTCTCCTAACATTTAGGTGTATTCAATTATAACAGAATTGCCTGGCCATAAAATCTGTCTTTTGGGAATTCATAGTTTTTTTTTGTCTTAATGCATCTTTAATGACAAAGTCAGTTGATTAGGTTAAGGTCTTGGGAATGGTGTGATCAATACAGATAGTAAATATTTTTGACTTTGTAGCCATATGCTTTTCATCACAAATAGTCAGTCTGTCATTGTAGCAATAGCAGCCACAGACAATATGTAAATGAACATGATTGTGTTCCAATAAAACTTTATTTACAAAAACAGATGATGGGGAATATTTGGTCCATAGGCCATAGTTTCCTGACTCCTATTTTAGATGACTGTATAAAGTCATAACCATAAAGAACTGATTAATTTTAAACTTAAGCTATTGGTAATCACTTAGGATATAAACAAACTATCAGTGAGCTCACCACCTTTTCTTTTTTCCCAACTTGAAGCTTGGTCCTTTATTTCAAACTTTATTTTAAAAATTAATTAACATTCATGGTATTGGAAGCAGAAGTCTGTGACTTGTATCCTTTCTGCCACCACTTACTAGATGCTTCTGACAGTTACTGGACCTAAACACCTCAGGAAGTTTTATCTTTGATAAATAATATTCAAAGATAATTTTTCAGTATACTATCTTCTGAAATTTTGAGACAGGGATTATCAGGTATATTTCACCCTTTAGCCAGATGATGCAAAGCTTGATTCTAGATGTAGAATAGCTAATGTAAAATCAATGGCACAACATAAACTATATTTATGCTGTGCAGAATGGCCAGGTCCAAATAGGTAAGGATGCTATTTTCCTGAAAAGCCTTTGCTATCTTTCAAGTGGGATCCCCAAACTGGGCAGTTTTTCCTTGAGCCTTATCTTCCCCTTCCCCAGCTGCTCATATCATCAAATCCAGTAGTCTGATGGTTAATTCATGAGTCAGCATGACTGGGTCAAGGAGTGCCCAAATTAAACATTATTTCTGGATGTGTCTGTGAGGGTATTTCTGGTTGAGATTTAAATTTGAATGGTTGGGCTCAGTAAAGTAGATTGCCTTCCTCACTGTGGGTGGGCATCACCAAATCCATTGTAGGCCTGAACAGAAGAAAAGGCAGAGGAAGGAGGAATTTGCCCCTTTTGTTTCTGTAAGATAAATTCCAGCCGAAATAAGCAGGTGAAGAGAGGCAACAAAGGGCCAGGTAATTTATTTGAGTACCCCCGGGTGAGGTTCCGTGGCCTTCCTGTCACAGGCGAGGGAAGTCATGCGAAAGTAGACAGGCAGCGAGTTTTTTAAAGAAGGTGGGGGGAGGCAGAGCTTATATTTACAGCGGTGCGAGGATTGGCTAGCCTAAGGCACATTTTTCAGGTTGGGAGGGAGCAGCAGCCCGGGACTTTTCATCAGTGTCTGACGTGCTCCCCTCTCCCCCCCCCTTCCCCCCCCGCCCAGTGCCTTCAACCTTACATTTCAGCCTTTGGGTCATAATGGGTAATGACTTAATTTGGCTACTTCTGGCTGAAAAGGGGCATTGTGTCGGAGGGCCGAGGGGGTTTCGTAGCATGTAGCTATATCGCTCTGACTGCAAACATCTCACTCTTCTCTAGAGGTCCTCACTTCACTCTGTCCAAGCTCATGGTTTTTGTTTCATTTTCTTTTCTACAGATAGAGACTCTAGCTGCTGCTAGGGAAAAGGGGCAACGATGGCTCTGGCTGCTTCATGCTGAGAAGGGACGCAGTGATGGGTGCAGCTAGGTTTCTATTACTGGTTAGTTGAGAGGGCCTCAGAAAGTTGGTGCTTTTATTCTGGAAGGACAAATTTGATGAGATTAAGAATGCATGGCTGAATATGAGAACTAGAAATATGAAGAGTTTAATTGAGAATTATAGCTAGGTATTATGGGGAAACTAAAATTTTGTATTGAGTTTACATTTTAATGACTAGTATTAGGATTTAGTATAGATAAGACTGCATTATTGAAACAATATTTTTCTCTAAAATCACCCTTATTTTTATTAGAAGTAGCTAGATTAAGAAAATAATTAACACGACTTTATTATTTGCATAAATGCAGCAAGAAGAGCAATTGATTATATAGGCTCTTTTAAATGTGCTTTGCTGGAACTTTTTGTAAGGAATTTCAAATTGAACTTTTAAAGGCCTCTCAAGGCCAGAAAGCCAAGCCAGACTTGCTATCAGGTTTTGCCTGCAGTACCTGTAGATTTGGGTGAATTTTTCTCTTCTCGAGGTTTCCAAGACATCCTGAGGTTCCTGCACCTGCCAGGAAGTGACCTTCTTTACTCACCTGGTAAGGCTGCTGGGAACCCTGTAAGCAAGGTACCAGGCCAATTCTTCCCAGGGGCTTTGTTGGCTTTATATAGTCAACTTTAGTTCCTTAAAGTTCATATCCGAGTTTATGCACATGTCTCTCAGGTATGATGTTCCAGTCAAAACCTTGGTAATATAACCAGTGTTTTTAATTGGTCTTTTTACAAGGAAAGCAGATTCTTATTGAACTTGTGCAAATAAACATACTGCTATGAAATATAAAAATAGTTATTGAGAGTTTTCAAATTCTGGAGGGATCAGGTAGAGAGAAAGATAAGGTTTCAATTCTGCTTATAAAGGTAGTCATTTACTAAACTGTTGTCAGCTTAAGAAAAAAAGCTTAAAACAGTTTATCAACAACATTTGAAACAAAAAGCCACCAAATTATCTTCCTTAGTTTACTTAATCCTATGTAATACCTGTTTAGCTGAAATCTAGTTCTTTACTAGCTTAACAATAATAAAACAGTGAGTATAGATGACAAAAGACTTACAAATGACAATGGTTAAAGATCTGATGACGGCTTACTGTAAGACAGTTGTCATAGGGAAATTCTG